TAGGAAATTAAACATGCATCTACTTTTCTACATTTGGAATTTTTTCCCCAGGGAATGATTAATCAACTATCGGAACAAATTTCTACACTGAATGAGAGAATGGATGAATTTACATCTCGAATTGAAGAGCTTAACTCAAAAATGTTTACGAGAAAAGTTTCTTCCAGTCAACAGAATTTGGCTTTGCAGGCTGAAGCCTGCAATGGCTCTGCACCTACATCTTACTTTGTGGCAAGCTTAGGCAATGGTTCATTGACTGGACCTGTATTACCCAATTCCTCATCATCTTCTCAATTGGCAAGGGAATCTCTATTGGAAGAGGTAAGCCATACTTTTTCTTTTTGGATGTTTGCTTCTGTTAGCTCGTTGAGGTGGTGGGTGAGGAATTGTCACATAATTAACCTACTCCACAGCACCTATTGAAATTATGATAAATGCCTTTAAGAATCTTGGTAGGATGATATTCTTTAGTCAATGATGTGTAAAGGGAGGGGAGCAGGAACCTTTGTGGCTGAAGCATTTTTATGTTCAGAGCCTTTCAACTTTCAAAGCTACTTATTTTTAGTAGAGAAAGGACTACTTGAGATGCATAAAATCGTAGCTCAAGGCAGTCCTGCTGCAGAATGGCAATGGTAGACTGCTCCATTGAGTGGTGGCTATGCATTTATTAGAACTTTTATAGACCCTTGTCCTCTCCTCTCTTGTTACTGGGTCTCACCTTGGAGCATGAGTCGTATTAACACTCAGAAGACACTGCAGAGTAATGATGAGAAAATTGGCAAGTCCACAAAAATCCTTGTCCATCTTAGGATTACCTGAAGGTGAGACATCATCAATCTAGAAAATTAGTATTTATAGCTCAAATACTGAAGTTATCAAGTACCAGACAAATTGAAAAGGGAAACTAGTACTTGAATGGGAAAAAACTCCTTGAATTGCATGTGATCTTGTTGCTGGTACAGGTTTTTGGGTCCAGGTTTGTTATATGGAGCATCTCGATTGCTTGTTATACAATAATATAAGTGAAAAAAAATAGTAAAGACATCTTTCTGTCTGATTATAAGTGGAGCAGATATCTGATATCTGCTTGCATGTGGTTTCTTTGCAGTCATGATTTCTTTGTGGTCTTACAATTTCTATTTTTTTTCCACCTAAATCTTCAGTCGGTGCATACATTTGCTTCACCCTGCCTGATTTCTTGGCTTTTTGTGAGCCATCTGATGTCAACAATTTTTGGGAAATAGGTCTTACTCATCTCGAGGTCACAAAGACAAATCATCCATCAAATAGACACACTCAGCACTATATTACGAGAATGTATGGGGGAACGGTCGCGCCAAGGGAGGGCAGATAGGACTACCAGATCACCTGCTGAGTCCATTGGTGCTCCTCTACTTCTGACCTTGGCTATTGGTGGCATAGGTGTTTTGTTGTTCAGAACATTCTCATCACAACATTGACCCTGTGCTAATCCTCATCCTGCAGCAAACTGGGAGATCATATATAGCATAGAATAAATAGAAATAGAGGAGAATGTATATGTTGTGTTTTGAAAAAACCTAGTGCTTTGGTAGCTTATCCTATGTTGTTTAAGTGACAGAAAAATGTATGTATAAAGCGGTATAGTTAACCTCAGTTTGTATGGAGAAATACAGAACCTGGGGACTCGATCTATAGCTCTGTATTGGTATTGGAAGGTGTGGCTTAGCGAAAAAACATAACTACTGAAACCGAGAGAGAGATAGCAAGCAAAAATGCACTTGCGCGGCTTTTAACTTTTGACAAGAATATTTAATTATTCTAGTCTCAACCTTTTCACAATCTTGTTTTTATGCTTCTTGCTAAGATTTTCCATGATACAATCATTCAAGAGTCTAGTTTATTGTCCTGAGAAGCGAAGGATTTCCAGTAAATTTCGGATTTTTTTCTTTTTGAGGAAAAAGGAAAATTACCTGGGAATTTTCAAATATATGCAGACGTCTAAAACCACTGAAGCAGATACAGCATGGAAATAAAATCCTTAAAATTTTCAACATCATGTTATGGTTAAAAAGGGCAGGATACAGATGGTAAACAGCAGACTAAATGCTAACGTATGCACTTCAGCGGGCCTCGAAAGCTGCTCGATAGTTGAACAGCTGGAAAAGCACGGAGTCTCGACAAGTTTAACTCTGTAAGAGCAGACCTGGGTTTTTATTGGTAATCTTGTGGGATTTTTTTTTCAAACATGGCTCCAAACATTGTAAATACGAATGTCTGGATGAAAATGCACCTCAGCATTTTAGGTTGCATCATTTGACGGGAAGATAAATTCTATCGCGAAATTCTCTGCTAGGGTCTAAATCTGTTGAGTTACTGAATGCCAGGAACAAATATAGACAAAAGACAACAGTGAAGATGCTTCTCTCCTTGGGTAAAACATGTGATAAATTAGAGATAGAATCAGGCATAATCTCCACACTAGAGTGCATGACGATTTAATACAAATAAAGTCCTTGATCTAGAACATGGAGTTAGCAAGTTCAGTTACATCTGATGTGACTTGATCATATTCCGCCTTAAGCTTCTCTTGTTCCTCCTGCCCAAGTTCCCCTTTTGTGGGTTTAGTTAGCACCAAAACACAGCAAGTTGGCCGCTTGGTGGTTCCTGCATTAGCTAGATCCTGAAACAAGCATATGCATTTTAATCACTCCTGCTATGAAAAATCACATTGAGTGAACTATAAACAACAGCAAGACAACCTATGTAGGGCATCCACTACAATCACAGCATCAGCTGCTCTTTAATGTTTGGAGGCACCAGAAAATGCAGAGGGATCACTAAATAACCAGGTTAGCCAATGGTCGTTCAATATAAACATATCATGTACAAGCTCTTATTCCCAGGAGACACATAATTGAAACTGCACCAACTATTTTCATCGCAAAATGGACAGAATTGAGGCTTATTACAGATGCAACTAAATTAGGCTTAAATGAGCCACCGAATAATACAAATACCAGCACCACTTTCAAGTTAATGAAGACAAATCAAAAGCTCTTGGATCAGTTCCTTATTTCAAAAGGGAGTAGTCACCAACCTGCAGCACCATGTTATTCAATGCAATCCAAAAGAAACATAACAACATAAGCAGGCTTAGTTATCATATCACACAAAGTGCCTAATATTCATATGGTTATTTGCAAATCAAAGATGCAGACAATTAAGCTCTCCACTGACAGAAGGTTCTATTCATTGACCATATGTCCCTATCACTGCATGGATCTAATTAGCAAAAACGATTGCTTTCAGAGGCAACAATTTGGATTATTAAAAAAAAAAAAAAAAAAACTACAGGAACTACAGGGAAAGCACACTAATGCAGAACCATCTCTTCTCTCTCCCCCTTCCCCACCCCCCCGCTCTCTCTCTCAAATTTCTTATTTTTTTTCTTAATATTCACAAAGTTCACATAAGACACCAAAAAGAGTTCCAGAGGATTAAAAGAGAAACATTCTGGAAGTCTCATGACCCCTAGTCTCTTTCTTCTCTTGGCTTTTGTCTTCATTTTCATGGGTGTCGCAATAAAATGCACAAATTAAAAAATAAGTGCAAGACACGCTGACCGCACCAATGCATAGAGAATCTTTATGAATATAAACATGATGTAAAAGAGACACATAACCAGAAAACATGAAGATGATTAGAAATCAACTTACTTCTTTGGAGGGCACATAGATGTATGGAATATCAGATTCTTCACACAGGATTGGAACATGAGTGATAACATCTATAGGAGATATATTTCCAGCTATAACACATAATCTGCACTCATCAAAAAGGAAAAATTGATATTTTCCAATTAAAAGCAACTCCAGATTACAAATCTGTGAGAACACTTTAATACAGAACATACCATAGCACAGATAAACCATATTATAGAGATGCATTTAGGTATCTAGATTGCATCTAAAAGCAATGGAACTTGTACAGAACTTAAGACAATAGTCCAACAAATGTTTTTAAGACAAATTATAAGCAACAAATCCCCAAGTTTCAAGCTTTGCAAATATAGTCAGCCTTGGAACTTCCCAGGTTAAATGCATAAAGGCAGGCATGTTCCAATTCAGAGTGCTACAAAATGCTGCCTTTTTCTACAACTTTAAGATGCTAAATCATGTAGTCATGGCACTAATAGTTAGCTATTCAAAAAAAAGGCAAAATGATCGGATTTCCTGTTTAAAATAAATTATCTACGCTAACATAAAGAAAACTGGTCTTTTCATTCTGTAAAAATAGATAGTTTGAACTAACAAAAACACTTGCGCAATTTACTTATAATTTTCGGAAGTAAATCCAACAAAATTTCTATTATCTCCATTAAAGATATCAATGCTTGGGTAGTAACACCTTTATAAACAGGTATTAAACATCAGGAAAAACACTAAGAAAACAATAAAAATCCAAACTTGGACTGACCCTTTATTGCCGCGGCGAATACTTTTCACTACCTCTTTAACCCCTCTTTTCAAGCACTTGTGCTCTGCAGCTGAAACCCAGAAAAACCCACAACTTTAATTGAAATTTAAACAAAATCCACAAAAATAATCACGTTTTCAATGGAAATTGAGATCTTTACCACGTCGGACGAGCTTGAGGGTGCGTTTACAGAGTTTTTTACCGGCCAGGGGTTTAGCAATTGGGGCAAGCCCCGCTAACTTCTTCTTGTCCTTCTCCTTCTGCGCCGTTTTCTCCGCTTCACTATCGCTTCCCATTTCTGCCTTGGCCATTTTTTGTTTCAGGGCAGAGAAAAAGACGATGGTAAAGCAGGTGCAGGTTTTTGCGATGGCGGAGCTTTGTGCCGAGACGCTAGTCCCTTGTCACTAGGGTTTTAGAAAGAAAGGGTTTAGCATTTTAGGTTCCGACGTCGTTTCCAAGTGCTGTATTTTACCCTTTGGGTTGACAAGGTATATGGGCTATTGAAATACGGGTCTAAATAAATGTTATCTTGGGCTGAACATGTTTTCCAGTTTGGGTCCAAAACAGGATTAGACTGAATTAAACAAATTGGACAATTTACAAATTATTTCTGGTCCTGCGACTATATTTGTTGATCATAAAGGTGTGATGAGCTAAGTGTCAATGGTGGCAAAAAAAGCAGTTGGAAATTGTTGCTATGAAAGCATTCATAAAATATTAGAGCTGTGCTATCTCCAAAATCTCAGTATAAACTATGTTAGGAGTAATATCATCCGAGGTGAGATCAGAAAGAGAAGGCTTGATCAAGATTTTGACAGAATTGCTGTTTCTAGCTCGAGAAAGAGCTACATAGAGTTGGCTGTGGGAGAAGACTGGCTCACGAAGGTAAATACCAACATAATCTAAAGTCTGACCCTGAGCTTTGTTTATTGTCATGGCGAAGCATAAATGAATTGGAAATTGCATTCTTTCAAAAGCTATTGGACAGTCAGGGTCAATATCTGATTTGAAGCATATTCTATGCAAGAAAACTTCTTTTTCGGCAAATTCACCACAGCTGATGATTGCCTCTATTATATTTTGTTGTAGAGATCTACATATGAGCCTTGTGCCGTTACAGAGGCCTTCCGGAGAATCTATGTTTCTGAGTAACATGATTGGAGCATTTGCCTTTAGGAGTATTTTATGTGAAGGGAAACCATTCGGTGTGAGGCTGCTAATAAAATCTTCTAGGATAGCCTGCTGAGAAGTGTCCGCTATTTTATCCCTGCTAATGTATTCAAAAGTACTGCCTGAAAATTCTTCTATCAATGCATTGTTTATGTCATCAAGAAAGTCATTTTTAGTTGTGAGAATAGCTCGATTTTGTCCATGAATAATCTTCGTGTGAGCAGCTCTTCAAGTCTGGAAATACTGGTTGAGTGATTGCTCTTCAGTATTGTATGGCACGAGTAAGTCTTTAGAAATCTGAATATTGTTGTTGTGGACAAAACATTCTGTTCCATCTCCTATACGAAGAAGATAATCAATAAAGTGTGGATCAGCAAGAGCTCTCATATTTTGTTTAAGTCTAAGTTTCTGTAAATGAGGCCAAATATAGGAATTTATAAGACTTGCTTGCATGAAGTCAGCCTTTGTTCCTTTTGTTACGACTGGAGGTACCTGACGAAAATTGCCCCCAAAAACTATATATTTGCCTCCAAAAAGATCATCTGTGTCTGTCAAATCTCTCAATAGTTTGTCCATGCATTCGATTCTTGTTTTGTACATCATTGGAGCTTCATCCCAAAAAATCAGCTTCGCTTGTCGAAGTAATGCTGCTAATGCACTTTGTTTGCTAACAGTACACATCTTGCTGATATCCATATTGATTGGTATTTTGAAGCGTGAATGCGCTGTCCGTCATCCAGGGAGTATTGATGCTGCAACTCCGCTTGATGCTGTAACCAATGCTATAAAACCTTTTGATATGATATCAGCCAGTAAAGCTTTATATAAAAATGTCTTGCTGGTTCCTCCTGGTCCATCTAAGAAGAATGATCCTTTGTGATCATTGTATACATGAGCTGTAATTATGTCAAATGCAAGTTTTTGCTCCATATTTAGTCGACTAATAGACGTTATATCTTCGTCTGATACTGCAATCTGAGTTTCACTGATAGTATCTCTGGTTTCTCTGTCTGCTTGGTCAAACCTCAGAATTCGTGGAACCAAGTCGTAGCTATTGATATTCTTGTCCATTGATTGTAGGAATTTACTTATTTCATGAAGCACTTGTACTTTTATCTGATCAGGTTGTGCATCAGATTGATGATAAAAATCTTCGGATAACGATGCCTCGAAATTTTGCCAAAGCTGTCTAGGATTTGCTGGTGGGAAATGTACTAATAACGTAGCAAAGAGTCTCCTGAAAATGTGTGGCATATGATATAATGCTGCTTCTTGGAGGCATTGTTCCTGTGCGTTATTTGATTCCAAATATCCCCTCAGTGTTGCTGCTTCCTGAAAGCTTGCTGCATATTTACCATCTATGATTTTGAGATCATCAAATGAAGTTGGTCCCTTAACGTTGACTAAAAGCAGCCGCAGAAAATAACGCTCCCCTTCATTTGGATTTGCTGCAACAATCCTTCCAATACAGTCTTTTTGTTACCTCGCTGACCAGTACCTCTTATCTAGATACCAAACGAAATGTTCAGGGAACTTCTTGTATGTGCATTTTAAGGCTTTTGCTAAGTCATTAGCTACATTCATATAGAAAAACTCTGTTAACATGGTCATTTTCTTCAACTGATTTTTCAGTACATCCCTGATGTCCTCATCGTCCTTGAAACTCATGGATTGATAATTCTGGAAGTGTAGCTGTAAATTGGGAACTAAAGGGTGCATTTCATTAAGAGAAAATCTGTATATTCGCCATATAGCTTCAATACCAGATACCCACCTTGCTGTTTGATACTCCTTTATTTCATCAACATACTAGTCTGAAGTATTTGAGTTGACCCGAAAATGTATTTTGTCATGTCCTTTGAAAATGTACTTGAACATGTATTTGACAACTTTGATGGTAGAATAGATTTCAACATTGATATGACAATTGAACTTTGTTAATAGGTACGAATTATATGGTACTACCCATCTGTTATCAAGTTCTTGGCCTTGGACGTTAACTATTTTTCCATCATTTCTTCGTCGATATATTGGATAAGCATTTTGTCCATGAGTTGTAATAGCCACCCATTGCTTTGGATACTTGTTCTTGCAGAATCTCACTCTTTAACCTTGCATGCACACATTGTTAGGATTTTTACTACCACAAGGGTCATGCATCATATGCCTGCGGACCATCTTAAATAAATATTTTTCTGTACTTTCATCTGGTAGTTCAACCAAGACAATTTGATCATAAGAATCAGGGGAATATAGCTTTAAATTTCGTTTCAGAATAATAAGGAAATGAGCTTGCGGCAAGCCTCCTTTCTGAAACTCAATCACATACGTGTATGCTGCAACCTGACCAAAAATTTCTTTCTTGAATAGCTCTTCCTTTAGAATTTCCAATTTAGCATGAAAGACCCGAGCACATAAGTCGATTATGTTTTGTGTTTCATCCGTAGGCACCTTGTTTTCTTTAATTTCTGGCCATGAAGGATTGCATGTCATTGTAAGAAATAAATCTGGTCTTCCGAATTTCTACACTAAGGCCATAGCGTCCATATATCTCTTTTTCATGTCTCGAGATCCTTCTATGAATGAAGTAGATAACAGTATACGTTGGCCTACTTTGGAACCCTGAGACTGTCCATGAACAACAAAATCCATCAAGCCTTGGAGTTGCTCTCTTCGAATAAGTAGTTGTTTGCTTCTGTAGAAGTCAAGTCTCTGAGTTTCAAGCTTGACATACATATCTACAGCAAATTGTTGTAGTAGACGGCCTGTGTTCAAAATATTTGGACTATATTCTTTTCTGATCTGAAACTTGTAGGGATAATATTCTCTCATTGAGACAAAGTCTTTTGAATTTTCATATTGTTGAAAAGTTGCAAATGTTCATTTAAAGTATGAGTCACATATATATAAAAAGCATCTGAATAGAATTTTTATGCTGATAATACATTTGTACAAAATAGTTGAATAAAATGTACCTTGTTGCTAAGAGCTAAAAAGCTCTTCGGCTGATCTAAAACTAGTTAATGTCACTGTGCATTTTTTCTTTCTTTCTGCTCTTTTACGTTTCTTGGGGTTCACATTTCCCGATCTTTAAATTCCTAGGTGCCAGCTTGTTTCTCCAAGAGGATATTGCAGGGGATCGTAACAGTCGTAATAATATTGTACGCGATGACTCTAGCCTTGTTTTGTATATACTTGTATATGTCTCGTGTAAGCTTCTGTTGGATTTTCCCCTTCAATCCATAGAGTTGCAACCTGAGAGACTGTAGGCTTGTTATGAGTTCTTTGATCAGCAGTAGAATGTGATCTGAGAATAATCTGATATGAGTCCAAATCTGCAACATTGCGCAAGCTTCGAAAAAAATAGGCATAAGGATTTTACTTCATCATATCCATGAGTTTGGAAACTATATTCACTGTGACTCTCTCTGAAAATGGTAGCCTGTTCTGTAATTCATGATCTGTATCATGAAAATAAAGTTGCAGATACATCCCAAATCCTCCGTGGGGAATCAATTCATTGATGAAGTAATATGTTTGTTCTTGGATTTTGAATGTATAGATGCCATTAGTTCTTTTGCATAAGGCCTTGTCATTGAACTCTAAAAGATGTAAAAGCAAACATATTATTATTATATGTTCGAACATATGTACGAAAAGATATTGCATCTTCTGTGTTTCCTGTGTACAACTCAACTAAAATGTCTGGCAATTTGTTTTCATATAGGACAACTTCACCATCAGAACAACAGAAATTTGGTGTTTCAGAATGGAATCTTTTGGCACCACAATATTGGCAGTCAGAAACCTGAGGTAATTTATCCAGTTCATCACTGATTAATTTGAGTGCTTCCGTACCCTTAGCTGTTTGAGCTAATAGACAGTAATAAATGAAAATGACTAAGGTAACTAATGGTATATATTCAGGTGAAGAACAAGCTATAAAGAGTACACAAGTCTTGGAATTGATAGACTTCTATTAACTCACGAACCTTTTTTATGCATCACCTTCCTTTTGAGTTATCTGGTAGATCGTTGCCGGTCAGTGGATGTAACTGTGGCAAGAATTGTGTTATTTAAAGAGAAGTTATTGATATAAGAGTACATTTGATTGTAAGAAGTGTAAGATTAGGTAAAAAAAAATGTATTTAGACAGAAGAAGCAATGTAAGAAAAATTGCATTAATAGCATAATAAACCTTTAATGGAAACATTAGTATGAGTGATATTTGGTTCTATCGTTTGATTCAGAGAAGGGACTATACTAATGCCTACAAGAGTACAAAAAGGTGCATGTGAGACATTCTGTTAAGACAATTCATAGCGTAACAGAAGTTCAAAATATAAAGAGTAAAACTATTGATGGCAAACCTGGTGTATCTTTCACAACATCAGAAATATAGTTGTAATAGTTGGTGCAAATTGGAGATTGACCTGCTATATAAGACTGATTAGCAACTAATTATGATCATAAGATACAACAAGTCTTGTGTAATTATGGAAGTGAACCTTGATTTTGTTCTGTATTGGATTGCAGGGATTGGTGAACACATTGCAGTATAGGCTGCTGAGCATTGGTTGCTGTAATTATAAATTGATAATGATAAGTATATAATCAATGATCAAATTGTTACTAGATACGTAACTGTAGCTGTAAGGTAAGCATAAGAGATATAAAATGCAGGATGAAATAACTGAATCAATTAACCTTTATTTTTTGTAAACCAACGTTCAGATGTATGTAAGACTTCATCAGATCACAATTGGTGCTGCAAGGTTTGTTGGGGAGCTTGATTATGACGAAGTTGCTCTACAGCTAAAGGAGGAAAAAATATCTGAGATAGTAGCGAAAATAAAGTACCAGTCCAATAGAATAGAAAGGCAGTTTTATCAGATGTAAATAATAGTACAATTGTCAGTAAATATAGGTATCTCACTCTTGAATTCTTGATAAACATTAGTCGCAGTTGATATGTTCGCAGCGTCACTGGATTCTTGAGAACATGTGGTAGCTTGCTTAACCACTGTTTTCAAGCGGAAATAATCATGTTGAACAATTAGCATGCATAAAAATGGAATTAATATTAAGACTAAATTTTAGTAACTGAATATAGTAAACAGCCTATGCACCAGCATCAAGAGGAAGTTGGAGCTCGTCGCATGGCTGAAGTGTATCTCTGGTGCTGGTTTCTTTTTCGTGACATAAATTAGTGGGAATTTTTTTGGCTTTCCTCTTTTGATAGGCCTCTCTCTGTTTCAGACGGCGTAATTCTTTTTCCTCAGGCGATAACGCAACATATTTCTCCCTTAACTTCTGATTACGCATAGCTTTTTGCGCAGCTATCTTATGACTATCACCATAACTACTCATCCTATGGTCTAGCTGAAAACACTTGGTTTATAAAGACGTTTAAAAAAACTATAAACACATAAAAAACATCATGCACATAAAAGTGAGGCAAACAGAAGCGGAGCTAATTGTTTGCGGGAAAAGATGAATGCGAATAGTTAGCAAAGTCGATGCAACTACAATAGTGCAAGAAATTGCAGTGAAAGTGAGCAAAGACGGGAGAGAGATTCTTACCAAACAAAGATCCCTAAAAGTATTCAATAGCTGCTGGGGAAAATAGAAACAACGTCAAAAAGATATGCATGCAAAAGATAAATGCAAAATGAACAAAAGCATGCACGAGAAAAACATGCAAAAGAACTGGTAAACGGCTGATTAGCAGCTATTAATGGAACAAAAATGAGGGAAAAAAAATAAAACAAAGGGAAGTAAAAGGATCAATACCAGCAGCAACAAGGCAAAGGAAGCAAAGCAATCAGAGACAAAAGGAAACAAAAGAAAGCTAAGCTAATGGAGGAAGGCTAGTATATGTGGATGATGAGTAATCTGTATAGCAGTATGCTGAATATGGCATTGGAAATAGCACATACATGAAAGTGGGGACATAAAATTTATTTTCCAATGATGACCTCAACTTAAAATCTCATAATCCACAAGAAAGGCAACTTTAAGGAGGAAAGTGTAAATTGGAGACTGAAATTACTATTTGTTGATTTAACCCAACAATCTTGTCAAAGGAGTTGACAAAATAGGCCAATTTCATAAGACTGAGAGGACCATTAAAAAAGAAGCTCTTGAGGGTAAACAAAGGAACAATAAGTGCAACAAGGGCAGAAACGTAATATAAAGCTAAAAAATCTCCACTTGTTACACAAATGTTTATTAGTGTGAGAGGGGGGGATGGCATAAGCAAAACAGCTATAGAGCAGAAAATGACGGCAAAGGGTTTGAAAGAGCAAATGAAAGTGCCTTTGCACAGTAAAGAAAAAGTGCCTCTTATATATTATGCGGATGATGAGTAATCTGTATAGCAGAGTGCTAAATATGGCATTGGAAATAACACGTTCATGAAAGTGGGGACATAAAATTTATTTTCCAATGATGACCTCAACTTAAAATCTCATAATCCACAAGAAAGGCATCTTTGAGAAGGAAAGTGTAAATTGGAGACTGAAATTACTATTTGTTGATTTAACCCAACAATATTGTCAAGGGAATTGACAAAAAAGGCCAATTTCATAAGATTGAGAGGACCATTAAAAAAGAAGCTCTTGAGGGTAAACAAAGGAACAATAAGTGCAGCAAGGGCAGAAACGTAATATGAAGCTAAAAAATCCTCACTTGTTACACAAATGTTTATCAGTGTGAGAGGGGGGATAGCATAAGCAAAACAGCTATAGAGCAGAAAATGACGGCAAAGGGCTTGAAAGAGCAGATGAAAGTGCCTTTGCACAGTAAAGAAAAAGTGCCTCTTATATATTGTAAGGATATATGTATATGAAAGTAGCTATTTTAATCACTATATTTGTCCCTAGCATGTCTAATTGAAGAGAATTGACGGGTTATGGGTCATTTGAATTTTACCCATACTAATCCTATTTGGATTATATTATGTGTTTAAAAATTATCTCTAATTTTAAAATAATCATATAATTTTAACTAATCTTATCTTAATGATATCGGCTTTCTACCAAATTATTACATACAAGTATAGTAAAATATTTTTAAATCACAATTATTGAAATCTTATATTCCCATAAATTACTTCCTTTTACCACCATAATTTTATCTTAATGATATTTACTTTCTACCAAATTATTACATAGAAGTATAGTAAAACCTTTTTACAATCACAATTATTGAAATTTCACATATCCCATAAATTACTTCCTTTCACCACTATGTCATTGATTAGCATTCAAATTATTCATCATCTTTTCTTTTAATTTTGAATTAACTTAGTGTAAAAAAAGAATTAACTATTACATTGATATATTTATCAATATTATTGGAAACTGAATATTTATTGACGAAAAAAATGGATTGCTAGATCTTTTTCTACTTAATTAAATATGAATATATAGTTATAGATATCATTATAAGAATTTAAATTATCTAAAAAATATTTATAAAAATGAATATCTATCAAGTTTTTATTTGATGTATACTATCATATTATAGTAAAAGTATGTAAACAAATTTTTTAAAATTTTGTAAATAATTGAACATTTAATATACATTAATTTTTTAAAATTAACATGAATGAACATGTAGAACTATTGTTAATTTTTATATTTAAATTATTTGTATTTGTATAAATTCACAATAAATAAAAGTTTTTAAAAATTAGTAAACAATTGAACATTTAAAATACATTAAAATTTTAAAATTAATATGAATGAACATGTAGAAATGTTGTTAATTTTTATATTTATATAAATTCACAATAAATTAAAAAAAAACACCGTGCTAAAGCATGGGCAAAATTCTAGTTTCAATGAGCCAAGTGGGTCAATCTTAATTTTCTATTTTTGGGTAAGAGAAAATTTGGATGGATTTTGCTCCATATACAAATGAGTCGAGTTTAATTAAATAGCCTGTAAGCCTAAAGAGTTTATTGCACTCTAAGCCCCTAGAAATCCAATTGCATCTTCCCCACCAACTTCAACTGGTTCGCATAGGAAGGGCTGAAGTAGTGTTGGAGGGAGGAGGGGTGAGAAACAAGAGAGCGGGAGAGGTGATGCAGAGGGATTGAGAACAGAGATGGAAAGGGGATGAAGTGGTGGCTGACAAAAAGTTTTACGTCGATTCAAGACCAATAGAAAAATAGAGGGGTTGAAATTAAATCACTCTTTTTGTTGATATTCTGTCTTGTCAAACATGCGATTTCTAATCATAAATTTATAAAGTCGTGATAGTGTATTCTTTGTCACCGTTACAAGAAAGTAGTATTCACAAAAGAAATATTCACACACACTATTCTATTTCAACCAAAAGAAGATGGAGCATAATTTAAACCAACAACAAAAGGGTTGTACAATACCTTACCTCCAAAGTGACAAATACTAACATATAATATTTAGATTACAAAACACTTATTTTTAGTGCCTCAATTGAATTTTCCTAGTGTTATGCCAAGGCTTAATTGGCAATAAATTAAACAGTTGCATTAAAATTAACGAAAAGGGATCCAGCCGTAGGAATTTAATTACTTTAATTGCCTTCTTTTAATAGTATGTATAAAATAGCCCCACTCCACCACGTACTAGATTATATAAGAAAGTCCGTAGGGAGCTTTTTAGCTAAGCAGAAACCAACAGATGGAGCGTCTTTCACACATTTAGGTTTGGCATCCTAAAGTCAGTAGATTTTGCAGCCTGCATGTTGCAACCTGCACAAATTTTGTTCTTCATTAGCACAATCAATAGAACTATATTTCATCCAACCTTGCTGAAAAAAAAAGGGTGAAATACAATTTACTCTCCTATGATTTAGCGATTTTTCACATAACCTCCTATAGTTCCAAAAACCATATATAACCCTCTCATAATTTGAATTAAAGTGTCAAAATAATAGAAATAATCCTCTGTAATGGAATCCATGAAATGTCGAAATTATTCATGTTTAAAAATTAAAATAGTTGAAGTGATAAAAATATATAAATATATAGTATGCTAGACACTCTAACCCTGTATGGTTTTCTAACTTTATAGGCGCACTTTTGATATTTTAGTTGACTCCGTTATGAAATATAGATTTCGCCATTTTGATACTTTAATCCAAATTATGAGAGGGTAATATATAGTTTTTGAAATCATAGGGAGATTATGTGAAAAAACGTTAAACCATAGGGGGAAAAAGTGTATTTTATCCAAAAAATAATAATAATCTTGTCATGCATTTGAAATCCCAACTAATTTTGCCCCACCCCAAATGAGTCCAGATGAACACAAATCAATGCACGATGTTCTTTCTAAATCATTTTACATAAAAACTTTTATAAAAATTTAAGCTTGGATACATTGCCAATTTTTACACAGAAACATGTATGTGTGTGCGTGCATGGGTTGAGAATATATGAAAGTGATTTTGTAATCTTTTAGTGAAGGTAGAATTAATACTTAAGGTGATTCATAACGCTTCAAGAAGTTCACTTATTTCTCAAAGTTAAGGCTTATGAGCTTACGTACGAATCACATAAAGTCAATTTTCAAGAGAGTAAATTCGGGCCTGCCCAATGTTTTGAAAACCGGACCGGACCGGCCGGTTGAACCGCGAACCACCGGTCCGGTTCAATGTCACGGTTGACTTTGTCAGAAAATCAATCAAGAACCGGTAGAACCGTAAAAATCGCGGTCAAACCGCTATTGAACCGATTTTCAACCTTCATCTTTTTTTTCTTTTTTTTGCAAAATTCAGTTATTAAGATTCGAACTCAAGACCTTTGTAATAGAAGACCAATGTATTAATCGTTGCACCATCACATCCTATTAGTTTTTTTTTATAACTTATTTATATAAAACAAACACTCATATTTCTTTTTTCCATTTTTCTTACAAAATCTTATTCTCTCACGGCTCTTTCTTTTTAATTTTCAACTCTCTCTCTCTCTCTCTCTCTATCCTCTTGTTTTTGTCACTCCCTTTTTAATCAAACCTCTTTATTTTTAATTTATTGATGTTTTCTTCCATCTTTTAATTTTGTTTTTGTCCATTAAATTGAAAAAA